TATGGTCAACTTCCGATTAGAAATGTCAACGTCAATTTTGACATATTTGTAATTGTCGTGAAAAATCCTTTGAAATGCGTCTTCAGACTTTTCTAAGTTCTTGTTTCAGCCGCCCGGCTAAACCTAAAACTTTCTAGTTCTAGCTCTATTGTTAGTTCTAGTTTTAATTGTTATTTAGCCCTCAATTTTTGTACATTTTAATTGATCTAAAAATTTTTTTTTTTGATTTAATCCACTTACCTTGCTTATAATTTCATCCATTTACCCATTTTGAATTAAATACAACCTTTAAATCCAATTAATTATGTGTTTTTCATTACAAAAATTGAAATTCAACGTCAATTTTGACAAGCAACTGCAATATTTGGATCTTAATCACCATGGTAACCGAGTCAAGTTGGATAACCTAAAAATAATAAAATTTTAACCGTTAATATTTCGCTTTATATTTTAATATTTTTTTAAATTTTATTTTATATTTTTGTATATTGCTTTTTAAGTGAAATATATTGTATAAATAAAAACATAGAAATGTCAATTCTTGCAATGACGTCACAGCAAGGCTTTTGCGGGGGGTACGTTCATAATTACAGCGTTCATATGGAGTTGGATAATTTTATACAGGATGTTTACTCAATGGACCTTGATAAGTAGGTGCGCTCTGGTTTTTATGGAAGTCTATTCTTCCAATTATTCTTCCAATTCTTCCAATTCTTCCAATGACGTCACAGCAAGGAATTTTGGGATACGTTCATAGGGAGTTGGATAACCTTATACAGTGCGTTTATTCAAGTTTAATCAAGAAAAATTTATTAAAAAAAAATAAAAAACGTTAATATAGTTATTATATTTCTTATTTTTGCAACCAACTTTGCAATTTTGTTTTAATGATTAAGTCTTATTCTAATCCAGGGCAAATATCTCTTCCATTCAATCGATAACCGATCAAATTCGGTGCCTGATCCCCCTCGTAAGCAATCACGATGGGTATTTTAACCGGAACATTTTTATTAATGATAAAATCACGGTTTTTCAATAAAACTTCGTTCGATGGAGAATCTTTATCGTAAATAGCTTGTTGTAAAACATCTCCCTAAAATTGAATCGATAAAATCATAAATTTAAATCAAAAAAGAATTTTACCTCGACTTTAATTGTCTTAACGGGGGAATCGAACATTAATCGAACCCAAGCTCCGTATAATTTGTAATCAGTGAGGAGATTTAAAGTGCCAGTTACTTTTCCAGGTAATCCTGATGGGGTGTATTCGAATTTCTCCAAACATGGCGATTTCGTTTCAGAAGGGGCTGCCAAAGAGCAACCTAAAAGTGTTAAGAACACGAAGAGATACATCTAGAAAAGATAAAATGTTACTACTTTTATGGAAGAATAAAATTTGATTGTATATATCGAAACAATTTGCTTTAATTGCAGTTTTAAATTAAATAATTCAGCGAAAAATTTGATTCGTAAACGTTTATTTTATTTAAAATTTTTTTACTTACATTTCTTTCTTCAACTCTAAACATCAACAAACCAAGTAAATTAAACCCGAATAAACCCGTTCTTATATACTTTTAGCATCTTCAAGGTTTACAAGGTTGCTTTTTTTTACTTCGTTTAATTTACAAACTGTTTGCTCTCCTCTTTTAGCTCGAGGACAAATTTAAGTCTTCTTAGAATTAAATTAAAAAAAAATCACACTTAAATTTACTTATTAATAAGAGTGGCTTTGTAAAAAATAAAAATTGGGAATTCCCTTAATCATTAAACGTTATATTATTATTAAGTTTTATTTAGTATCTTTCCACTTCGTTCGAATGTGTTTCACTTTTAAAAAGTTGCAATTCAGGTTCGACCACCTTAATTTGTTTAAACTCATTTGTGTAAGTTAAAATAAATCCCATCGTGCCAATCGCTGTAATCCACTCGTTAATTGAACTACAAAGATGTTCGATATAGCCGTTGTACTCTTTAGTCCATTTTGTTATGTCCGTTCCTATAAAATTTGTTTATAAAAATGTTTTAATTAAAATAAATCATTTTTACCGTTGAATTTTAAAAAGGAAATTGCAGCAAAAATGAAGGTTAAATTCATACAAATCGTGCAAAGAGTCGCTAAAAATATTCTGATCGTGTTGATCTGTTTTGAACCTAAATGAGGAAATATCCTCAAAGAGACGATGACTTGTAAAATTTCGTAAATTGCTCCAAGTCCGAAAGCCATCCCTGCTCCGATTAAGTGAAGTGAAAAGACGTTGGTTTCTTGGAAATTTCCAACTATGCTGATACCAAAGGAAGCGATTAACCCCAACCAGAGAGAGTATAAATTTAAATTTGTTACGGTTTCGATTGATTTAATCGCTGAAATTTCTGCAACTTGGCGATATCTTAAATAAATTACCATTGCCACTAAAAAATAGAACTTTATTAATTATTTATTTACAAATTTTGGTATAATTAGAAAATCAGCATGTCAAATCATACTGTTAGAGTAATTAATAATAATAATAATACTTTATTTGTGTAAATAAGAATCTACATTCTTTTCCACTCGTCATTTGGTTACATATCGTTCGATCTGCCACAAGTCGCTTACAAATAAATAGAAATCTAATTCGAAATATTGACGGAGAACATGAGACATAGACAAATTACTTATACTTAAAAATTTCAAACTTTACAGGTTACATTTCACTGTCTAGAAATTCCTATACGCTGTAGAATGCGCGACCCAGGAGAATAGCAGTGACCCGTCTTATGAAAGTCCTTAGTGGGAGCTCTCTTATGAGTTTTGGTAATTTGTTAAATAATTTTGGACTTTACTTTACTAACTTTACTACTTTGACTTTACTAACTTGGATTTCTTTACGTTATCTTGTGTTTTTAAATTTGTTAATATTCGGAATACCTTCCTCTGGAGCCCGAAGATGCTCTCTACATGACACGAGTGACCCCAGGATATTATTCCATAGCGGATTTAATTATTACTATCAGAAGATTAAATACTGCTAGTAAAAGACTAAAAATTGCTTGGTATAAGAGGAAATACTATTTCAAAAAGTTACTTCCAAAATGTTAGATACTGCAGAAAAAGACCACAACTTACGTTAAACACTGTTGTTAAAGGTTTTTCGAATTTTTCAATTTTCGCCGATTAAGTTTAAAAAATTCGTAAAAAATCCATTTCTTGGTATATGAGTATTAAAATTTCCCAAAGTGTTAATAAAAGTGTCCTCTTTCCAATGAACCAACCCGTTTTGAAAAATAACTTTTAGTTTTTGAGAAAACAATATTTGAAGTTTTGATAAAATTTTCGATGTTGCAATTTTCATCGATAATTTTCAAAATTTGCCATAAAATTCATTTCTTGAAGGATCCTTGTGGAAATACCACCAAGTATGAATTAAAGTATCCTCTTTTTAATGCAACAAGCCGTTTTGAAAAATCGCTTTTAGTTTTTGAGAAAAAAATTTTTGAAATGATTGGCGATTTTTTCAAATTTTGCAATTTTCGCCGATTAAGTTTTAAAAATTCGTATAAAATCCATTTCTTGGAATATGAGTATGAAAATTTTCCAAAGTGTTAATAAAAGTGTCCTCTTTCCAATGACCCAACCCGTTTTGAAAAATAATTTTTAGTTTTTGAGATAACAATATGTGATAACAAAATTCGCTATAAAATTAATTTCTTGAAGGATCATTGTGGAAATATCACCAATTATTAATTAAATTTATCTAATCTTCTGTCATTTGTCTTCTATTACAGATTTAAAAATTATTGCTATACTACAGAAAGATATCACTCAACAGAAGAATGGTTTCGGTAAATAGTCTTCAGCCCGTAGTATATAGTCTTCTGAAAGCATTAAATAGGCTTTGCCAACAATAGTTAGCATTCTGAAAGTAGTTAACAGTCTTTTGAAAACAGTATCTTCTCTTTCCAAGCAGGTAATAGTTTCTCCCAGCAGTATTTAATCTTCTCCAAGCAGGTTGTAATCTTTTCTAGTAGTATATACCGCTTTGAAAGCAGTAAGTAGTTTTATGGAAGCCGTATCTCGTCTTTCCAATCAGTTTGTAGTTATTTGTTAGCACAATCTAGTTTTCTCCAAGCAGATTGTAATCTTTTCCACCAGTATCTAGCATTTTGGAAGCAGTAGGTACCTTTTCTGAAGAGCATATCTCTTCTTTCCAAGTAGTTATTAGCCTTTTCCAGTAGTATTTAGCATTCTGGTAGAATTAAGTAGCTTTTTGGAAAGCATATCTCTTTTCCAAACAACTATTAAAGTCTTTGAAAGCAATAAGTGGTCTTGAAGTAGGTCAAAACGTTTAACAGCAGTGTTTAGCGTAAGTAGTGGTCTTTTTCTACAGTATCTAGCATTTTAAAAAAAGTAGGTAACTTTTTGAAATAGTATTTCCTCTTTCCAAGCAGTTTTTAGTTTTTTACTAGCAGTATTTAATCTTCTGATAGCAATAATTAGTCTTTTGCTAACAGTATCTAGCATTCAGGAACCAATACGTTAAAGAAAAACGATAAAAACATACAACATCATAATATCTTATGCTAACTAACGCTACCTACCACTGCCATTAGAACTAATAGTAGACCGAGAACGAGAAACATTCGGTTTTAGCCGCCCGTCTCTCAAGACGGCTAAACCTGAATGATTCTAGTTCTAGGTTTTGTGTTAGTTCTAGTGATAGTGTTAGTGTAAAAGAAGAACTAGAACTAACACTAGACCTAGAACTAGAATGTATCGGGTTTAATGTAATCTCTGTCTAAAGATGAACGGCTAACCCGACCCGGAATTTACAACCCACCCTCTGCTCCATGCCCAACCCGATATTTGAGAAATTCGAACTGGTTTAAATGTTAATTAACCTAACTCAAAGTGGAATTTCTACACAACATTCTGAAATAAATCAGTAAATTAGGTGGATCTGAGTGTAACGTTTAAAGAATCGAGTGTTGTAGCAGCAATTTTTAAATCTGTAATGGAAGGGACACAGAAAGATATCACTCAACAGAAGAATAGTCTTTAGCCAGTAGTATTGTAATCTCCAAGCACTTGGTAGTGTTTTGGCAGCAGTATATAATCTTCTGAGAGCATTAAATAGGCTTTGCCAACAATATCTAGTTCTCTCCAAGGAATTAGTAATCTTTCCAACAATATTTAGCATTCTGAAAGTAGTTAATAGTCTTTTGAAAACAGAATCTTGTCTTTCCAAGCAGATAATTGTTTCTCCCAGCAGTATTTAGTCTTCTCCAAGTAGGTTGTAATCTTTTTTAGTAGTATATAGCGTTCTGGAAGTTGTAAGCACTCTTATGGAAGCAGTATCTCGTCTTTCCAATCAGTTTGTAGTTGTTTGTTAGTACTATCTAGTCTTCTACAAGCAGATTGTAATCTTTTTCACCAGTATCAAGCATTTTGGAAGCAGTAGGAACCTTTTTGGAGAGAATATCTCTTCTTTCCAAGTAGTTATTAGTTTTTTCCAGCAGTATCTAACATTCTGGAAGCGGTAAGTAGCTTTTTGGAAAACATATCTCTTTTCCAAACTATTATTAAAGTCTTTGACAGCAATAAGTGGTCTTGGAAGCAGTATTCCGCCTGTCCAAGTAGGTCAAAACCTTTAACAGCAGTGTTTAGCGTTCTGGAAGCAATAGGTATTATTTTAAAAACAGTATCTAGTCTTTTCCAAGTAAGTTGTGGTCTTTTTCTGCAGTATCTAGCATTTTAGAAGCAGTAGGTAACTTTTTGAAGCAGTTTTTAGTCTTTTACTAGCAGTATTTAATCTAGCATTCAGGAACCAATATGTTAAAGAGGGGGGGGAAGGCATCAGGTATAGATTTTAGGTTATCGTTAGTTTATAGATTATAAACAACGACATTTTAGTCGTTATGCATCGAAAGTCTAAGAAAAACAAGCGTGTTTCATCCTTAAATATACGTTGTAATCTCAACAAGTTTATTGATGACAACTTTACAACAAATTAATTTTAGTTTTTGAATCGAAACATTTTCCCGCCACACCTTATTTCGACTAAAATGGCTGATTTTCAACTCTACCAACATTGTAATTTTTATTGTTATTTTTTATAAATAAATACTAAAGTTTTAAATTCAACTTTTAAATTCATTATATCAATTTCACAAAGTAAGTAATTGCATTATTTGAATTAAGATCTTAAAGAGATTATACTACGCTTAGTTGGTTGCATACATTAATAGATAATGAATAAAAAGCTTTTAGCTTAATGAATAAATTAATTATTTCTTTTTACTTACTTAAAATTGATCCTGTGTTTAATAATTGTCCAAAAATGCAAGCTTCAGGTGGAAAAGTACCTGTATCGCTTATGTAAGGCCAAATTGGGGGGACATCTTCTGTTATAACAGCAATAATGTAACTAAAAACAAATTAATTTTAATTAAAAAGTGGTTATAAGATTTATATTTTATGTTATACGTTATTATAAAAGTTACAGGGAACCAAATAAACACCACAATCGGTAACCAATAAACTTTTTCGAATGTTATCGTCATTTTAGACCCGTTTAAACCGTTCCACATTTAAATTCAAGTTATTTTACCACGAAATTTTTCCCTTTGTTATCTAGCCAGGTGTTTAAGGGTAAATAATAAAGAAGAGGATTTCCTCTCTAATGAAACTTCATCGTCGACGTCGAAAACATCCATTAATGGGTTTCCAATAATTCCATCATTGACGATCATCGCAACGTCCGCTCTTAATTTTTTATTCAATAGCTAATTTTTTATTTACAATTTTTTTTCCAAGCGATGTGTTAAAAGTTGTTCCGTTTCTCTTTGATATCTTCAAGATATGCTATCATTAAATTGTCAACTTTGACAGTTTGAATCGTGCAAAAAGGAGGGCTTTATCAATTAATGAGAAGTCTAGTCAAATATTTATGTTATTATGAGATTATTTTAACAATTTTGATGTGATTTATTTATAAAAATTGATAATTTTAAATATTATATTTAATATTTACTAATTAAGGCGCAGTTATGCAACCAACATGGCTATATTCCAAGATTATTTTTTTATTCAAATACAATTTTTTAATAGTTATTATCGTACTAAAACGGCGAAGTCTTTTAATTATTTATAATTAAAATAAATTAAGTTATTTGATTACAAAAAGAAAAAAAATTATTAAATTATATTCAAATCTTCCGCCATTTTTTTGACAACATCAAACTTCAAAGTTATAACATAACCTAAAATATAATGTAACATTAAATCCGTAATCATAATTGATCCATAATCGCAAAAAAAAACATTTATTTTTTGCTATATTCATAGTTTTTTGTGTTCATTTGTGAATTGTGTTGATCCGAACCCATCACCACAGAGCAAAGTAATAATAAAATTGTTATGTATTTAGACAGACGCGCGCGCCCTCTACAAAAGAACGAAGCGTCGGAAAACAGAATAAAACAGTGTGACTTGTAAAGCTGTGTGTTATTGTTAATTACTGAGAAATAAAGTATATTTAGAGTTCTAATGTGGGTTTATTTGATCGGGTACACAACATAATTGGCGACGAGGTAAACGAAGAAGTCGAAACTGAAAGAAAAAGTCAAAGTAAAGTACANTTGGAAGTAAAAGTAATGAAAAATACAACGGCGGAAGAGTTAATAATTACCCTAAGATCAATTTTTGCCACTGTTGGGTTGCCACAGCAATTAGTCACAGATAATGGACCACCATTTGGATCATCAGAATTTAACAAATTTTGTAAGTTGAATGGTATATTGCTAACACATTCTCCTCCATACCACCCTCAATCTAATGGGTTAGCAGAAAGAAATGTAGCAACAGTTAAGAAAAATTTGGCAAAACAATTAAGGGAAAATGAACAAAAACAATGTAGAAAATCTCTACAACTACTATTGGATAATTTTCTTTTAAAACATAGAAACACGCCAAATACTGTAACTGGACTCAAGCCTACAGAACTTGTTTTCAAGTATGTTCCGAGAACACTCCTTACATTGATTCATCCACACGCTGTTAAAGATGAAGAAAAGGCAATGATGATGAAGAGGAGACAACCGGAATTTACTATAAATGATAAAGTGTTGGCGTTTATTAATTTGGGCGGAAGATTAGGACATTGGAGGGAAGGAAAAATAGTAGAAAGGAAGAGTTATAGAACTTACATGGTGCAATTTGATAATGAAACTAGATTTATGCATGTGGATCATTTGAAAATGGATAAAAGTAAAAATCAACACAGTGAAAATATATCAGAGGATGAGAAGAATTTGAGATATCAATGGTTATTACAAAGTTTACCAACATCAATAGAGAAGAATGAAGATAAGACATATAAAGAGGTACCTGTGACTATGGAGACAATGGAGAAATCTAAGATACCGCAAGGTCCAGAATCGGATTCCTCAGATCATCCCTCTACTCCCAAATCTCCTAAAACCCCTAACTTACGTCGATCTAAAAGAATCATAAAGGCACCCCAAAAATTAGATTTGTAACGAAGGAGGGAGTAATGTTATGTATTTAGACAGACGCGCGCGCCCTCTACAAAAGAGCGAAGCGTCGGAAAACAGAATAAAACAGTGTGACTTGTAAAGCTGTGTGTTATTGTTAATTACTGAGAAATAAAGTATATTTAGAGTTCTAATGTGGGTTTATTTGATCGGGTACACAACAAAAATAGCAACAAAAAGTTAGTTACTGGAGTAATAGTGTTAACAAAGAGATTGGAGAAGAAGAGGTAATGCTTATACTTCAATATGTGTCCCTCAATCAATACCCTAAAACATAGATCAATATTTGAAGCACTTAGATCGTCACCCAGCAAAGCTCTCACAAACATAAGCAGGAAAAACATGTATTGAGATTAGAGCAAAACACTTGTGTACTAGGTTGCTGAGTAGAACTCTAAGTATCAGCAATTGTCTAGTCATAAACAAAGTTATTAAAATCTCGTCTAATCGCAGAAATTTACAATAAACTGAAACCTGCTATCCTAAACCTGTATAGAAGAGACCAACAACATCGACGATATGAAATATAATATCAGAAAATTCTCATCGTCAATACCATTTACTCTTGGATCATACAAGGATCTTAAATCGGTTTGTTAAAGTTGGTAACGTAATAGGAAGGGAAATAGACTCCTCCAACAGAGAGAAATGGCCAGATTTTCAACACATATATACCTAAAGATGGATCACTTGTGTCTCATGTGGAATATCTGCTCCTATCCTAAGGATAGAGGAGTACTATCATCTACCTGATGAGCTATCTATATTCTCTGCCAAAGCATATACAAACTAACAGCATTAACCATTGTAAAGGAGAGATCGATCACACTGGAACAAAAAAAATTTTGATTTCAGAACCAAACTACATCTGTACATAACTGAGGCTATAAAATTATTATATGAAATACACTAATTGGACTCTGATCTGGGTTCCAAAGCATAATATTGGCGGCAAGGGCAATGAGAGGGCGGACGAGTTGGCGAATAGAGGTCACCACACTCACCACGAATAAGCTCTCAAAACAAAGATACATGGAGAAGAACAATACCAAAAAATCAAAAGGAATTAAAACTCGAATGGGAGCAGGAATGGATTGGATCAACTAAAACCAAAGGCTATGTGTCAAGCGAAAATCTAAAAAATCCTTTAAATTTATCATATCTTCATAAAATTAAGATAAAAGAAAATCCAAATGACAAAAATTGATGTTGTGTCTAAGATAAAAACGAGTGATCTTACCAATTAATCTGGTTATTATTGTATGAATACGTTGTTTCCTCGAGAATAAGACTGTGATAATGTCCGAAACTGGAATAATTTAAACACTTGTATATTATACACAATTCTTACTGTGTGTTTCAATTCATATATTGTTAAACGACGGGGCAGTTCGATGGAGATGAAGTGGGAGAGGTTAATGAGAGGTAAAGGAGTTCATCAAGCTGTGACAACTTTGGTAATGCACATCCGAAAAGCCTTCGTAGAAAGAAATTCTCTACTGGCTGTGGGGAGTGATCTATAATACTAAGCACTCTATATAGAGCAATAGTCAGATCCACAATTGAATATAGTTTGTGGATATTAATGCCTATTCCTAAAATTATGAAGAAAAAACTTGCTATATATAAAGCCTATTGAATGCCTTGAGATTTTCTCCAACAAATGCGTTAACTATTGAAGCAGGTGAAACATCTATGTATTAATGTTTGAGCAAGACTGTTGTGTACTAGATTTCTGATTAAAGAATCTTAGTATAATCGATTGTCTAGTGATTAACAGAGTAGATAGGATTTCGCAAACCTTCATCTCACGTCCGTTGGCAAAGAATTGCACTTTGATTGATAAAATCTACTCAAAATTCAAGCCTGCTATCCCAAATTTATACATAAAACAAATACATGACATGCACAACATGGAATATAACGTCAGAAAGCTGGTACCGATGATAACATTTGTCCCCGGATCATATAAATGCTTAAGTCAAACAGTGGAATGATTAGTGTGGTAGATAAGGAGATTGAGCAATACATAAAGAAGAGATTGATGATTTCCGAAGTACATATACAGCTTTAAGTCTATTGTATTTGGCATATCAGAAAGATATTGAAATCACACTGGTATGGGTACCGGAGCATATGGCAGTGAGTGGACCAGGAGGTGTTTCACAGAATAAAAATCTATGTAAAGAATTATGTCGGCAAGATATAATAATAACTGTTAAAACTACATGCACCCTCTTAGAACTTCTAAGCCTTTTACTCCATGGATAACGCCCAATATTAGGTTCATGATGAAGCTCAGAGAACAGGCTCTGGGTAAATTTAGGAGAACAAAACTAGCCCTTCATTTCGATTACTATAAATCTTTGAGAAATTTAGTTTCATCGGCAAGACGTCGTGAAAAAAAAAGCTTATTTCAATAGCACATTAAAAATATGGACGGGCAGAGTAGTTGGAGGCTGTTAAATAGGTTGAACATCGGGAAAAAGTCCGAGCCAATTATACCTGCACACCTGCATGATGTGAATGAATTAATTATCATTTCCTAAAATCTGTCAGCCATACTGATGTAGATACTGCTGTACTTACGTTTTATAATACAAATACCCTTTTTGCTGAATTCCATGACTGGTTTTCTTTTAAAATAGTTGATACCCCTACAATGAGTGGAATTAAATCGACAGCTGCTAGAGCCGATGAAGTAAATATCATATTTATCAGAAAATGCCTTCCGGACTTGTTGCCATACATTCATCGTGAACTCCTGCCTTGAGCAATCAGTATTTCCCGATGCGAAAAAAGAGACAGAAAGGTACTAAGAGTGTTAGAAAAGAAAGGAAAAGATGCAGAAATTCACCTAAAATCCACCTGAACCAAGAAGTAACCAATTTTAACCTCAAAATTAGAAAACCATGTATTTGTAGTACACTTTAGTTGGAGGTAACATGTTCTTATAAATATTCCTGCAAATCTTTAACATTCAACCAGAGAAACTCATTATTACAACAATATTATGAAGTTGCAAATTACGATAAGCAGAGTAGGTACTTTTCTTTTGTGGTTGATTCAACTTATAAACATAAGTCGTAACGTATGATACACCAGAGGAAAGTTACGATTGCTTATACGGTTCCTAATGGTAGTGGAGAGCAAGTACAGGTTTGCAGAAAAATGTTTTTTAATATATTTGCGTTAAGCCACAGAAGGTGCAAGTACTTGTGGAAAAAAAGAAACTAGGAGAAACTACTAGCACAGATGAACGTAGTAAAAAAAACCAAAGAAAAAAAGTATTTGCCAGAAATGCGCCAGCTAATCAGGTCATATAGCTAGTTAGCTATCATATCCAGAGTTTTCCTCGCCAGGAAAATTTCCAAAGTTCAGATTTAAATCTCAATCACATGTTTTTGGCGTACAAGGAAAATAATCCAAATTCAGTAGTTACTTATAAGTATTACTCAGTGTGTTCAAAAAAGACTTCCCAAATCTCAGATTCGGACGGCCTAGGTCAGATACATTTTTAAAGTGTGATCTTTATCAAAATAAGATCAAATCTATTCCATTGATCAACCCAGAGATGAAACAAGAGAGAACTGGATCATCGCAAGGCGGAAAAGGCAAGATCCACAATGAATACCGATATCGCAATCTCACAAAATATTGGTAGTGACTTTAACTCCTTCGGATATTTTAACTTCGAGGTTCGTTTATCTGATACAGATGATGCGTTTATGTGCGTATGGGATGAGTCTATTATTGGAAGGAGTAGAAATGAAATAGAAACTTATCTGCTGAAAGTCTTCTCCCATCTAAATTTTCCTAAAAGAAAAAAAAAACTGGTTGTATGGAGTGTTGAATAGTATAACAGTACGTTATAGCGCTGATTACCACTTTTTCGTAACGAATAACAATTTGATTCTTTTTGTTGTAAAGTATTATTTGTTTTAAACACGAAACGACGCTCTTACAACTGCTGGTTATCAACAACAACCAAAACAAAACAACCAACATTGCTATGATTCTCGAAAAACACAAAAACCAATTTACATAGAAATAAAAACCAAAATGTAATAAAAAAGTACAATTTACAAGAATTACAACATGGAGTGATAACTGTATTGGGCAAAACAGGAATAAGATTATTTTCATGTTGCTTATTTAGCTAGTTTTTGAAGGTATCTACGAAAAAGTCGAGCAAAAGAAAAAAAATAAGGCGCTTACATGAAACAGGCTGTATATCACCACCAATAGATTCGTCATGGAAAGAGAAATAAACTTTTTCGATGAAGTCGTCCGTTATTAGTCGTCGTTAAACAGTTCCCGTGCGGTTATTATAAACATTTCCAAAAAATATTATTAGAAAGATCGCTTCAGAATAATATATTCTACAATCGTATAATGCTCTGATGCGGAAGATACCGGACACCTGTATAGTTTTACGTTCGTGTGATGTGAGATAAGATGGAAAGAAATAAAATTGAAGCTGAATATCTCTAGGAGACATTTTCGTAGATTGGTAAACGTATTTACATTTCAGAAATAATTCAAAACCTTTAATGAAACATTTTAGTAATGTACCGTAATTGTCACCTGTACAGGGTGATTCTCAACCTATACGCATAAACTTGGGAATTTATTCCTCATGACAAATAATGGCTAATTGGTGAAAAAAATTGTAGTATGTATCCTAGATATCCTTGAAATTAACTTTCAAATTAAGAATACATAGGAATTACTTGAAACTACGATGGTGATAAACAATTGCAATTTCAAGCGACACACATATTCGACGAGGCTTGGGCAAAATGGAGGAGCAGTTAGACCTTTGCACCTGGTTATTGTCGAGAAAGAAATTTTGAATGTCGTCGAAGAGCAGCCTGGCCTAAGTACTAGAATACTTGCAGAGCAACATGGGGTATCACAAGCCACAATTTGGCGAATATTGAGGCACAATCAACTCCATCCATATCACATGCAACGTGGGGGGC